TTCCGTACTCTCCCTTTTAGTGTTGAGAAAATAACAATATTTTTCATAGTTTAATTCGGTAAACCTACCCAAATATCATTTAAAATATTGACTTTAAACAAAACTAGGTTCAGTATATAAAAATATAATCTTCTGAAAGTTTTCATAATTTTTTTGAAGCATTAATATTATTTATATTCCTTATTTATCACTCAATCAAATAATAACTAACAAAAATAAATATTAAGTATATTATTTTGTGATGTTGGCCCACCACTACTCACCATTAATGCCTGAGAATCACAGGCCCCTCCCAATATGGTTCTAAAGTACCATACAGAAACTAATTTCAATAGGTATATATTTATATACTCATAAAACTTCCTTTTCCAATTTAATTCTATATATATATAAATTGTACTCACATACTAATCTGCTAATCCACTTAATCATGTACTAAAGTAAATATATATATGCACACACACACACACACACACACACACACACACATATATATGTTAGATACCATTCTAAATTCAAGTTGACCCAAAAATCTATATTACAACTTATTAAATTCATGGAAACTTAATATAATTAATTCAAGATCTTTAGCTCTTATTTGCCATGACCTCAAATCGTAATTCACCTTTATCCATTCTGTATTCATATAACAGCATGAACAGAGTACATCAATTATTAATTTACATGATCATTATAAAATTCCCAAATATATATATATTTATATAACAACACGTTAAAATAGTTCCACATAATAATATATACCAATCAATTACCCACTTACCCCTTACATATATACATACACATGCAGGTCCTACGTAACTACCATGACCCATAATGATCGTCACAACACTACAACCAATTAGATTCCATAATTCTACATAAACATATCATATATATGTCTAGGTTCTAATTGCACAAGGAATGAAATTCATATCGTTAACCATTCATATTGATGAAATTATTCTTATTTATCATCACGTTAACACATGCTATAGGCAAAGTTACAAATATATACAAGTATACAAAGCAAGATTAACTTGCCTGAGTACGCAACTCTTTCTTTCCTATGTAAAGATTGGATCACGGTCCCTTTTCCCGGCTACTGCAGAAGGTAAGAAGTATCGATAACTTCTGTTTCTCTCTTTCTCCCTTGTTTTATTTCTTCCTTTTACGCAATAGGGAAAAAAATAAAATAAAATAAAACTAATATAAAGATAAGAATATCGGTAGGTAAGCTAATTTAGGATCCCCTTTAAAATTTTAATTTTATTTTTTAAAAAAAAAATAACCTATTATCTCTAATATTCCTTAAAAAGTCAACTAAATAATAAATATTTTAATAAAAAAAAAATACGGATATTACATTCTACCCTCCTAAAAATAAATTTCGTCCTCGAAATTTACGTACCTTATTTGCAGAGATGTGGGTATTTTCCCTTCATTTCTGACTCTAGCTCCCAAGAAGCCTCTCTCTCATCCTGATGATTCCACTGCACCTTCACTAGAGGTATCTCTGCCCGCCTCAACTGTTTCACCATACGATCAACAATTCGAATAGGCGTCTCAACATAAGTTGTATTAGAGCGCAACTGAACCTCTGTGCAGTCAATAACCTGTGTTTCATCCCTCAAGCACCTCCTTAACATGGAGACATGGAAAACATTATGAACAGTAGAGAGTTTGGGTGGTAAAGCCAATCTATATGCCATTTCCCCAATCCTCCCTGTGATCTCAAAAGGTCCAATGAATCGAGGAGCTAGCTTCCCTTTCTTTCTACCAAATCTCATAACCCCTTTCATTGGTGATACTTTTAAAAACACTAAGTCTCCCACACTAAACTCCAAAGCTCAACGGCGTCGATCTGCATAACTCTTCTGTCGACTCTGAGCTATGCGAAGTCGATCTCGAATGATGGCAACCTTCTCCGTAGTCTCTTGCACCAACTCTGGCCCCAAAAAACTACTATCACCAACCTCGGCCCAACATACGGGTGAACGACAAGGTCTACCATAAAGTGCCTCATACGGTGCCATACCGATACTAGCCTGGTAGCTGTTATTATAAGTGAACTCAACCAGTGGAATGTGATCCTCCCAATTACCCCGAAAGTCTAAAACACATGCACGAAGCATATCCTCTAAAACCTGAATGACCCTCTCGGACTGGCCATCGGTCTGAGGATAAAAACCAGTACTCAGACTCAAAGGAATACCAAAAGCTGCATGAAAACTACTCCAAAACCGAGATGAAAAACGAGGATCACGATCTGAAACAATAGACACTGGCACTCCATGGAGCTTAACTATGTCTCTGATGTAGATCTTACACAATTCATTTACAGTATCAGTAACTCGAATGGATAGAAAATGAGCTGATTTAGTCAATCGGTCCACTATCACCCACACTGTATCATGGTTATGTATCGACCTCGGTAACCCCACAACAAAATCCATCGTCACATGCTCCCATTTCCACTCAAGCACGGCCAAAGGCTGTAATAGTCCTGCTGGTCTCTGGTGCTCAGCTTTCACTCGCTGACAAGTGAGACATCTATACACAAACTCTGCCACATCACGTTTCATGCCTTCCCACCAAAACTGCCTCTTAAGATCATGATACATCTTAGTGCCACCTGGGTGCACTGTGTACCTAGAGTGGTGTGCCTCTTCTAAAATCTCTCTCTTGAGGTCTGCTAAGTCTGGAACACATAGCCTACCTCGAAATCTCATACCACTATCAGCTCCATACGTCCAATCGACATTACCCTCATCATTAACAGCATCACCTACTTTATTTTGTAACTTTTCATCCTGAGTCTGAGCATGAATGATCCGATTGATCAAAGTAGGCTGTACGGTCAAACTACAAAGAAAAGCCGATGTACCTTGAGAACTCGGCATGACAGAAAACTCTGCCAATGCCTCTAACATCATCCACTCCTGAATCATCATAGAGGCAACTAATCCTCTCAGTTTTCGACTCAAGGCATCTGCTACCATATTCGCCGTTCCAGGATGATACTGAAGGATCATATCAAAATCCTTTATCTTCTCCATCCACCTCCGTTGCCTCATATTCAACTCCTTCTGAGTGTAGAGGTACTTAAGGCTCTTGTGATCAGAGAATAATTCAAATTTCTCGCCATACAAATAATGCCTCCACACCTTCAATGAAAGAACTACTGCTGCCAACTTCTGGTCATGTGTAGGGTAATTATGCTCATGTGGCTTAAGTTGCCTAGATGCATACGCTACCACCCTATCATCTTGCATCAAAACACAGCCAAGACCCTGAAGTGATGTATCTGTGTAGATCACAAATCTCTCATCACTAACAGGGATGGTAAGAACTGGTGCCGAAGTCAATCTCGTCTTCAACTCCTCAAATGCCTGCTCACAGCGGTGGTCCCAAACAAACTTCACATCCTTCCGAGTCAAACGAGTCAAAGGTGCAGCAATTTTGGAGAAACCCTTAATGAAACGCCTGTAGTATCCTGCCAGTCCCAAGAAGCTACGAATCTCAATGACAGTAGTAGGCCGTTTCTAACTCATCACAGCCTCCACCTTGTCAGAATCTATTGAAACTCCATCCTTAGAGATCACATGCCCCAAAAACTGAATCTGCTCCTGCCAAAAGTCACACTTCTCAAACTTAGCATAAAGTTGATGCTCACGTAGAGTCTGAAGTGTAATGCTCAAGTGTCTCTCATGCTCTTCCTTAGTCTTGGAATATATCAGAATGTCATCAACAAATACCACAACAAACTGATCCAAGTAAGGTCGAAACACTCGATTCATCAAATCCATAAAAGCTGTCGGGGCGTTAGTCAACCCAAAAGGCATGACTAAGAACTTATAAAGGCCATAACGAGTCCTGAAGGCAGTCTTGGGAATATCCTCCTCCCTTATCCTCAGTTGATAGTAACCTGTCCTCAAGTCAATCTTAGAGAACAACTGCGCCCCTCTGAGTTGATCAAACAAGTCATCAATGCGTGGCAATGGGTACTTGTTCTTAATAGTGACCTTATTCAGCGCACGATAGTCAACACATAAGCGGAGTGACCCATCATTCTTCTTGACAAATAGAACAAGCGCTCCCCAAGGTGATGTGCTAGGTCGAATAAACCCCCGATCTTGCAACTCTTGAGTCTGCTTCTTCAACTCACTCAATTCATCTGGCGCCATTCTGTAGGGTGCCCTAGAGATAGGTGAAATATCAGGAGTGGGGTCGATACAGAAATCCATTGCCCTCCTAGGAGGCAAACTTGGAATATCCTGAAACACATCTGCATACTCTGACACTGTAGGCAACTGCTCTATAGTCACACATTGCTCAACCACCTCAATGTGGGCGAGAAATCCCATAGTCATGGTGCCCTCAAACTCTCCACACTTATATCGAGAAAGTGACTGTCCCGGAATTGAGAATACAATAATCCTCTCATGACAGTCCAACTGAGCATGATATCGAGCCAACCAATCCATACCCAGTATAGCATCAAAGTCTCTCATACACAATACTATCAAATCAATAGGATACTCCAATTCCCCAATTGTAATAAGACAAGCACGACATATTCTATCAAGTGTCGTCGCGCTCCTAAGTGGAGTTACAATAGATAAGGAATTACTCATATGTCCAAGTTCTAATCCCAGTGTCTCCACAAATGATAATGCAATAAAAGAATATGAAGAACCTGAATCAAATAGTACTCTAGCTATACTGCCATAAACAATAAGTGTACCTTCCACTGCTGGTGGTGCACGGTCATGTCTCCCATCTGGAACAACTGCATTAAACCTTGCACCTCCGTGCTGTTGTGGTGCCTGGCCTCTCTGCTAGTTATTCTTGTGAGGCTTGGGACAATTACGAGCTAAATGTCCTTGCTTACGACAATTGTAGCAATGCCCGTTGAACTAATATGGCTGTGCATCATGAGGTGTGGCTGGTACTAAAGCTGTGTTTTGCTCACCTTCACCAACTCTCTGACGTTTCCCAGCTCACCAATCTTGTCTCCCTCTCTGCAAAGAGTGACCCTGCCAGTTTCTCTGAGTCTGCTGCTGCTGACCCCTCTGATTCTGTTGAGAGCTGCTAGCCCTGTTACTTTTCTGTTCTGCCTTACGCTCCTTCTGTTTCTGAAAGGCAATGATATTATTCTCCTCTACCGCCATGGCACATTCCACCATTTTAGCATATGTATCACAACGATGACCCACCACAAACTTCTTCACATGAGAGATCAACCCTCGCTCAAACTTTCTAACCTTGTGCAACTCATTTGCAACAATGTGAGGAGCAAATCGAGATAGCTCTGTAAACTTCCTCTTGTACTCACTGACTGACATCTCATTATTCTGTTCCAACTGCATAAACTCAGTTGCCTTCTTCTCCCTTACTGATAGTGGGAAGTATTTGTCGTTGAACCGAGTTTTAAAATCATCCCAGGTCATAGCTGTAATGTCCACAACCATCTTGGTCTCTGACTGCCACCACTGGCGTGCCTCACCAGATAAAAGAAAAGCACCAATCTTCCTTTTCTGCACCTCAGTACAGTCCATCATCTCAAAATATTTTTCCAGATCTTCAATCCACTTCTCGGCATCAAGTGGATCGGTAGGTCCGACAAATTCAATAGCTCCCAATTTGCGTATATCTCTGATAAATCCAATCATAGGATTCGGCGCATAAGGTGCATCCTCCAATAGAACATTATCATGGTCAACACCACCACGACCAGCACCTCCCTGACCTTTGCCTCCAGCAGGTCGTCCTCTGCCTCTTCTATCTCCTGACATCCTATTTCCAATAAAGAATGTCAGTGATAAGTCTCACAAGTAACTTATACTTTAAATTGGAGCATGGTAAGAGAGCAAAAATTCGTATAAGTATATGCTCCAATTCTTACTATCACTTCATTTAGCCAGGTAATTCTTAACCTAGGCTCTGATACCAAACTGTCACACCCCAAATTTTAACACAAAGACTCTTTGTCTTGTATGTCAAATCTGATGTATAACTTCCACCAATTCTTCACATACATCCATCATAAAATATAACTATAATGAATCCCATCATCCAATTTATTAACATGAGTGTCTGACAAACATAAATCAAATCCATAAATAGAGGTGAAAGTCCCTCTAACACAACAAAACATCTATTACCACTGAAACAACTCGATAAAGTTTCATAAAACATTAACTTTATTACAATAATCATAATAAAGGAAAACCGAGCTAAAATCCGACTTTGTCATGCGTCTCCATCACGTTCCTACTCTACGAGCACCTGAAATGTGATAATGAGGTGAGCTCACAAGCTCAGCAAGAAATGCTAAACACAATCATTGTTCAGCAAGTTAACCTTACTTTGTATTCCCATATATATAAGCAACTCAATAAATGCATTAATTAATTATGCATATTCCAGTTAATTATAAATGCAATCAATGACCATCATTTATTTTTGATAAATCTGTATATCTCACATGAGCCCCGGGCTCCCGTCCAATAAAGTGGTGTGAATCGTATAGTCCCAGACTACCAAAAACACACGTATGGCTGGATTATATGTCTACTCCCCAGATGATCCATGATTACATCCACACAATAAGAGCTCATTAGACCCATGGTCATAATAAAAGGGTACTGCACTCACAATAGACAGGTCCCTGACCATACCCAAAAGTCATCATAGGGTCAGTCCCTGTCTACCCCTCCGACTAATCCAAATTCATCCATTAATTATTAATTATGATGAATTATGAAAGATATCATTAATTAATAGTTCAAATTAATAGTTAATGCACCCAAATATCATTTTAATTAAAAAACAGAACCCTAATGATCCAACTAGTGAGAGTACAAAATTTCTAGATAAAGTCTAACATTAAATATAAAACCTTGCAAAATTTCAGAATCTAACTCCTAATAGTTTTGTCATACTCTCCCTTTTAGTGTTGAGAAAATAACAATATTTTTCATGGTTTAATTCGGTAAACCTACCCAAATATCATTTAAAATATTGACTTTAAACAAAACTAGGTTCAGTATATAAAAATATAATATTCTGAAAGTTTTCATAATTTTTTTGAAGCATTAATATTATTTATATTCCTTATTTATCACTCAATCAAATAATAACTAACAAAAATAAATATTAAGTATATTATTTTGTGATGTTGGCCAACCACTACTCACCATTAATGCCTGAGAATCACAGGCCCCTCCCAATATGGTTCTAAAGTACCATACAGAAACTAATTTCAATAGGTATATATTTATATACTCATAAAACTTCCTTTTCCAATTTAATTCTATATATATATAAATTGTACTCACATACTAATCTGCTAATCCACTTAATCATGTACTAAAGTAAATATATATATGCGCGCGCGCACACACACACATATATATGTTAGATACCATTCTAAATTCAAGTTGACCCAAAAATCTATATTACAACTTATTAAATTCATGGAAACTTAATATAATTAATTCAAGATCTTCAGCTCTTATTTGCCATGACCTCAAATCGTAATTCACCTTTATCCATTATGTATTCATATAACAGCATGAACAGAGTACATCAATTATTAATTTACATGATCATTATAAAATTCCCAAATATATATATATTTATATAACGACACGTTAAAATAGTTCCACATAATAATATATACCAATCAATTACCCACTTACCCCTTACATATATACATACACATGCAGGTCCTACGTAACTACCATGACCCGTACCGTTAACCATTCATATTGATGAAATTATTCTTATTTATCATCGCGTTAACACATGCTATAGGCAACGTTACAAATATATACAAGTATACAAAGCAAGATTAACTTGCTTGAGTACGCAACTGTTTCTTTCCTATGTAAAGATTGGATTACCGTCCCTTCTCCCGGCTACTGCAGAAGGTAAGAAGTATCGATAACTTCTGTTTCTCTCTTTCTCCCTTGTTTTATTTCTTCCTTTTACGCAATAGGGAAAAAAATAAAATAAAATAAAACTAATATAAAGATAAGAATATCGGTAGGTGAGCTAATTTAGGATCCCCTTTAAAATTTCAATTTTTCTTTTTTTTTAAAAAATAACCTATTATTTTTTTTTTCTTCCTTTTAACCTATTATCTCTAAAGGGGATCCCCTTTCAAACAATGATGGGTAAAAATAAAATAAAATAACTGAAAACAAAAAATCGGTGGTGATGGATTTGCAATTCTTCAGATCAAGTTTTGGGTTGATTCCGGTGATTGGTGGTGATGGTTTTGGGTTTTGTTTGGTTGGTTGTGGTTTGTATGACGAAAATTGGTTTGGTGAAGAAGGTGATTGTGGTATGGTGATGGAAGGTTGTGGGTTGCCCTTGGTGATGATGAAGGTTTGGGTTTGCAATCTTGTAGGTCACGCCGGACTCCTCAAGAAGGTGAAATCGACGTCAACTGAGGAGGAAAGGAGCAAAACAGATTTTTTTTTTTTTTGGGTAAGTTGGATACTGCCATGTGATTCTGCCAAAGAAATCTGTCAAAATAACTGGTTCCTCTGTCACCACCCTACAATTTAACATATAATATCGAACTTACAGATTCCACATGTGTAGTTTCCATCAATCTCTATTGAGCTGAGTTTGGCTGACAGATTTGCTATGGAATTGAGCAGTAAACCTCCAAATCCATTCTTAGTTAAATGTAGTCCTTTTAAGATTTCTACAATTGGTTAAAGATTTTTTTTTATTTTTTATTATTCGAGCAAATTAGGAAGAGGGAGGACTCAAACGTGGGTATACCCATTTGTGAAGCTGGACATTCTACAAATTAGGTGGATGAGTAATGCCAAATTGGTTTAAGAATTAAGAAGGATAAGACTTAGGAAAATGATTTTAAAACGAAAGAGTTGGGCATAATTCCTCATCTGAATGCTTTTAGTTGGCCAATATGTGTCAAATATAAGAAAGGGAAAAATTTACCCACTCCTAAGAATGAAAAAAAATAAAAAATAAAAAAATAATAATAAAAAAATAAATAATAAAACCAAGGATACAATCAAGCCCAGTGCAAAAGAAATCATGGTTACACTTACGAGGTCAAAAAAATGCTAAAGGAAGCCAACTAATGAGGACAAGAAAGAACTTATGAAGAACTTGAAGCAGCCGAAAAATATATATATATAAAGAAGCCTTCAAGCATTAATTATATATATCTTATGTATGTTGGGGATTGTTGGTGGGTGGGGCTGATCATGCTTTTTTGCTACCTGTTGATTCTGCGACCATCCATGTTCATCCCAACTCACCTTCGTGGAATCAGATACACCACAACAAAATTTATTTTCTCAAACTTCATTGTCAGTGAGAAGATTGTCCCTGAAGATTGTCCCTGTTTCTATTAAAATTCTTCTCATTTTTATTACGGAAAACAAAATATTTTTGACATTTTTTTTTTCTAATTGGGTACTCATACACACACATGCCTTCACGAAGACTCGAACTCCTAACCTCTTTTTGAGAAGTAGGAACTTGGTACGACTAATTTTGAAAAAATACTTGCGTTTGTCGATCAGAATGGAAAGATACGGTAAAATACACGTTTTTTTTTCTATCACTCCGTATCTAACGCATTTATTCGTTTTGTTGCTCCGTTTAAAAACCTAATTTTTTTTTTTTTTTTTTTTTCGTTCACGAAATTCACAATAGCGTATTTTTTTGAAACACAAACTATTGTATTTTCTACCATCTTTTGCTTGGTATAGCCCTTATCTTTTAAGTAATTAAAATAATGTTATTTGTTATGCAATTTCTTATTGTTGTCACTCCAATTATGATCTTTAATCAAAGTAATGAAAGATATATATATATATATATATATATATATATATATATTTGTGGAACACTATAATTATGGAACACTATAATCTTGAAGAATCACAAGTTTTTATTGATATTTGTAGATATTTATAGATTTTTTGTTTTGTTGTGAGATCTTCTAAATTTTGTTAATATCTTTATTATTATTATTTTAGAAATTTGTAGATCACCACACTCTTCAGATGTTTTAGTAAAGTATCACATTATATATTTATGATTTTTTATTTTTTTTTATGATTATTGTGATAGTGTTAATTGTAATATATTTATTTTATTATTTGTTACATATTCTTTATTGTCCTTACAAATATATCATATATATAAGAAAATAATAAGATGTATATAGTCGAATTTTTGATCCCGAATTTTTAGTGTATATAACGTATTATATACGTACGTATATTCGTATTTTTACGTTACCTTATTTTTTTGCCGAATTTTTTAAACGTATTTAAAAAAAAAATATCGAATTATACTCGTACATTTCCGTACTCGTATTTTTTTCGTACCGTATTTTACTAACTATGCCAAGGAATAAGTAATTAGAATCAGAAGACCCAAGATTAACAAGAAATTTGGTGTACGTAATAGAGGAGTGAGTGTAATGTAGAGAAGGGCATTTTGGACCATGAAAAAAAATATAAAAAGTGTTTTTTATACTTTTGTAATTAGTTTCACAAAGTTGGTAGTGAAACCTAATAGTTTGAAAAAATTTATATTTTTTAAAATATAAAAAATTAAGTAGTGATTTTTAAAATTTTTCCTATAATATACTATAATTATACACTTTTCAAATTCACGATTTATTTTTATGGCAATACTTGTCTATCCAGGTGAGTAGGAAATTCATACTTACTCCTAATATGGCGCAAAAATAGTGTGACAAGTGTCCCTACAATAGAAAATAATAAGAATTAAA